AACTGGGGCCTTCTGTGCTCTGCTTCTCCACTCGATCTGCCTTCCTGGCCTGAAGCCCATTTTGTTCCCATTGCTGGAGGCAGGAGTGCGCTAAGGCTGCCCGAGCGCCCCTGCCCCGGCTGAAAATTCTCTCGGCTCCCTGAGTGCTGCTGGCAGAGGGCCCTCTCGTTAAAGAGAATCCTCTAATTGCACCCCTGGGTGCCGGTTTCTGGTCTCGTGCTTGCATCTCTTTTCAAGCCGCGCTTCCCCTCCCCGTCTCCTTTGGGGGCAAGGGTCCTGCCCTGCAAGCCTTCAGGAGACTCTGACTTCTCCAAGCAGCTCCTCAGGCCTGGACCAGCCGCCTGGAGCCCAAGTGCTTTGGCCAGCAGGCAAGGGAGGCAGCTGGGCTCAGACGCTGCCCTCTCTGGGCCATACTGCTCCTAACAGATGCGCTTCTGGCACAGCTGCCAGCTTGGCCCCCCAGTTGGCAGGCACTGACCAGGCTGACTGTTTATGCATGAAACGAAGCCTGGTGTTTGTCCTCACGTTTTTTGGTGCTGTAGTGCTATTTTGGGGTCTACCTCGCATCCTCAAAGATCCTTTCTTTGTTTTGGCACTGCCTCCTTGACGCAGCAGGTGACCCTGGCCCCCTGCAGAGGGGCTGGGGCTACGTTCTGCCTTTTTGCTTGAAGGAAGGGGCGTAGGTGGCAACTTACTCAACTGGGCTACAGTGAGACTCGCACCAAGGTGGCATCGTTCTGATGGGGAACTCGGGGTCTTGCCAACGGCCTTCCTTTCCAGATGGCTGTGGGGAGGAGAATGCAGTCTCTGGCTCAAAGGAGAGCCCTGCTGCCAGCCACCAGAGCCTGTACGCCTCGGACCAAAATCCACCTCAACCAGCCCCACCGCCTGGCAATTTCTGACCTTTGCGAGGGCCCCCTTGCTTCCAAAGAAGTTGCCAGATCTCTTGGAGAGTGAGAACAGGCTGCTTGGTGGTTTGACTTCTCCTGTTACTGACCTCTTTGCCCTGTACAAGAGAACCTGCCAAGGCTTCAGTAGGCACGGTGCCACTGGCGCATTTGTGGTGGGGAGGCAAGTTAGCAGAGTCTGAAACTCAGCTGGACATGGGCCAGGGAGACTTCCCAGCTGGGATTGCTCATGCCACCGTTGGCCCTATCGCCTTGCAAGCATCGTGGACCCTGTGAGGACCAGTGCGCAGGCGGGCAAGCTTCTCGCTGCTCGTCAGCACCCTGGGAGCAGGAGCAGCGTGTCCCTGTCAGCCATCCTCCAGAAGTTGCTTCTTCGGAGCAACAGAAGGTGGGGGACAAGGTGCTCTCTGGCAGCCGCCGCTGAAGGTTTTGTGTGGTGGGCTGAGTGGAAGCCCATTAATTCTCCTCCCCTTGTCTGGGGAAGCCCTTCTCCAGGCTGCTTCACAGGGAGGCAAGAGCCATAATCATTGGTGAGACTTAAGAAGATGTGCCTGGTGCCCTGGTCCTCAACTCAGGGATGTTGCTGTCCTGTGGGATGCGAGCTGATTTTGTTATGTTTGGGGGGGCGCAAGACAGCTGGTGCCTGAGGCTGAAGTTGGTCATCTTTGCTGTATCTTCTGTGTGCTGGCTTGGAGAGGGGACAGTTATTTTACTGGGGCAATTTACTGATTGCGCCCAGTGGGCTCAGGAAAGAGAATTGGAGCGCTGCTTTGCTCAAGAGGTGCCAGGTTGCAGGACGTGCCCTTTGCCACATGGGTGAAACTGCCAAGATGTTCGGTCTCCAGTGAGCAGCTCCTCCATCAACCCTTTCCTCCTCCCACTAAGGATTGAGGCCCCCAGTACAGAGGCTTTGTGAAAGGCAGAGAGGTGGGAACATTTGCCCTCGGTGCAGATCACGTAGGAACGAGAGCGCTCTTCTTTGCATCCCTGGCCCTGGGCTGAGTGCCTGATTGCGCCTCAGGAAGCCCCAGACGCTCCCCATCGGAGGAGGTTAGGCCTGCTCACGGGGGCAGAATGGCTACATCCTGGCTCCTCTGTGGCGCTTCTCCATCTGCCTGCTCAGCCGTCCCCCCCTTGCCTCCCCAATCCACTGTCCCCTTTTGCAGGTTCCTTCCGACGACCGATGGCGAGCGCTTCTTCGATGGCGAGCGCTTCTTCGGTAACCGGCCCCTTTTTCCCTTCTTCCTTGCAGGAGATCTGGTCTTCCAGCACCGGGACAAGCTGATCCATGCCTTCTTGCGAGGAGTCCGAGATCCTGACAGCTCCCTCAGAGCCAGCAGCCTGTCCAACCTGGGGGAGCTGTGCCAGATCCTTGGTTTTCAGCTGGGCTCTGTGGTCCAGGAGGTACCTGTCCCGCTTGAGCGGATTTCTCTCCCGCTGCTGGAGGCTTGCAGCCTTCTGGGTGAACAGCTGAGAGAGGGGTGCAGATCTCTGGCTGCCAGCGGATCTTCCAGGTTCCCACCTTGCCTTTTCAAGCAGCAGCACAGGAGTCTGCGGATCTTGTCCCTCCTCCCAGGTGTTGAGCCCTTCAAGGTCTCAGGCTTTGCTTTAAGGAGGCTGCGTCCACGACATCAGCCAGACATTAGCCAGGTCCTGGCCATCGAAAGCAGGATGGGGGTGGGCGCATCTCTGTTCCAGCCTGAATCTTTTTTTCCCCAGCCTCTCCTTCCCCAAACAAGAGAACCAAACATTAAATCATACTTCTTGAGCTCCCCGCCGCCATCTTGTGCGGACAGATTTTGCTGACTCTGAGGTTGAGGACATGTCCTTTGCTGTCAGGGCACTTGTGTTCTTCAGTCCTTGCTGGTGAGTTGTCACGGGTGGCAAACCTGGGCAGGGGAGCGCTTGTGTGCCCGGTGAGCCATCAGCTCTGTGAGTGTTGGCACAGAAATGCTTCTGCAGTAAGAGCAGGGGCATCTTGGGCTGTCTCCAGCCTGCTGGGATGAGAAACCTGGTACGTTTGGATGCTGTGTCCCAGGCGCAGGTCTGCAGAGGCACTTGCTCCCTTTTACGCCACACGCTTGAAAGGGTTTCACTCAGAATAATTCCTGTTCCTCTGCTCCTTATGAATGCTGCCAGCAAAGATTCAAAATCACTCTTCTAAGCTATAAGCTAAAGGAGAATTGAGGAAAGCTACACTTTACACACTACTCTGGGTGTGTGTGTGTGTGTGTGTGTGTGTGTGTGTAAAAGCCAGCCCCAGCCAGGGTCCTCCACTTTTGCCAAAGCCACGCTGAAGTTGTGAATGCAGGGAGTGGCTGGTTTGGCTGCTGTGGCCAGCAGTCAGGCAGAGAAACCCTCCTGCTGTTTGCAAAATTATGGCTCGAAGAGGAGGGCTCAGGCAGGGGAGCTGAAACCTGTACAGGGAAATCGAGCTCTGTTCCTGAGCAAGGAGGCATCTCGTTCCACTCTTTGTGATATGGAAGCTGCGGCAGCCGGAGCCGCGGACACTGCCCTGGTGTCTGAGCCGGGCAGGAAGGTTGTGGTGCGGCTGGGCCTTTGGCCAAGGCTGCTGTGGTCCTCCGGCACGTGGGCAGTTTGGTGCAATTTCCCAGTCACGTATGTGTGGCTGAGGCCAGGTGCCAGCTGACTCAGCAGCAGCTCCTGCTGCAGGGGGTGTGGAGAAGGAAGGGCTGTCTTGGAGCAGACGGAAGATGCGGGGGAGGGCAGGAAGATCCGCTGGCTGTCTTGGCTACCCGTGGGCAGGACTGGCCCTGGGACCAAACCACTTGAACGCGGGGGACGGGGGGGCAGCAGCGAAGGTCCGTGTTCTTGCTCTGCAGCTGCTGCGACGCAGGCAGGTGGTGCCTTTTGCCCCAGAAGCACCAAGTTCAAGCTTTTTACTGGAGCATGAGTCAGGCCTTGGTTAGGGCTCCCAAGGGATCCGACGGTCAACATCTCCCCTTTTTTGACACACAGAAAGGACACGCCTTTGTCTTTTCTGCCCCATGTGGCTTCTTTAGCGCCCGGTGTATGTCTTTCTTGGCAAATGTCTGGCTTGCTCTAAGGGGAGCCTGCCTGCCTCTCCCTCTCTCTCTGGCAGCTGGCTTCCTGCTTAGCAGCTGTGGTGAAAACTGACCATGAGGCCGAGGTCCGGAGAGCTGCAGTCCACGTGGTGGTGCTTCTGCTGCGGGGGCTCAGCACGAGGGCGGTGGAGGTGAGTTCTTTCTCCGGAAAGGGTGAGAGCCCGGGCAGCCTGGTGGCAGGAGCAGGGCGCTCTTTCCGGAGGGTCTGCCCACGAGCATTCCTGCCCTCGGTCCTTCGGTCCCTGGCGTGGGCCGCACTTCCGGAAGCCAAAGGAAGACGCAACAGGCCGAGCGCAAACCTGGTAGAGCCCAGAGGGCTTGGGTTGGGCTGGCGGGGAGTCTCTGCCCCCTGCTTCTATCCCGGACCCCTCCAGGGAGGAGGAAGATGAATGGGACTAGCTTGCTGCCAACCACCTCTCGGCCACCAGCCATTCCTGGCTCCGTCTCTGCTGCTAGCTGGGCCCAGAAGAGGCGCTTTGGCAGCTGGGGGGCAGCCTCCCCCAGCTCCACACACCATGGCAGGGCCACTGTGCAGAGGGACAGGAGGCTCCCTGTCAGAAGGACGTTTCTACGTTAGCCTGTGCCCACCTGCCCTCCCTTTGCAAGCGCCCTCTGCGCAGGCCAGGCGGAAGGGACCAGGAGCTGGGCGTACCCTCCTGCCAATGAAGCCTTTCTCCTGTTGCCAGGCTTGGAGGAAGTGAGACCCTGAGTGGCCCCCTCCCCTTGGCCCAGCGTCAGGGTTAGTGTAGCCCCTGCCCATTTCCTGGGAGAAAAGCTTGGGGACAGCGTTACGCCTTTTTGCGGGCATGATTCCGTGCACCCTTTCCACTTCGTTTTTTCCAGCATTCAAAGGGCTGAGAAAGTTCCACTACCTTATCTCAGTAGTCCCTCAGGCGAACTGCCTTGTTCAAACAGTCCCACTTTGAAAACCCCGGTCAGCTGCGCTTTGTTCCATCCATCCATCCATCCCCTGCCACCGGGAAATGCCATAAAAGAGGTGGGTTGCCCAGCTCAGCATTTACGAGCAGGAGATGATCGATTTCTTGGAACTGGCCCAGGAAAGTTTCTCCACACCTTTTCTCCAGAAAGTTTTGTGGGATTGATTCACTCCCAGAACAAGAAACAAGAAGCCTTTTTCCTGCAAGGGGGGGCAGCTGCCAGTCCCTGCCCAGACATACAGGCCGCACCGCGGAGGGGCTGCTTCGCTGGTTGCCTGCACAGTCTCCTCGAGGGTGCCTGGCCCCTCCCTGGGTCTCCTGCTGTTCCCCGGGGTGTCACAGCCTGTGCTGCACCTAAGTGAAGGGCTGTTGAGATTACCTTGTTGCCCTAGGCAGGGCGTGGCTGGAGGAGGGATTCTGCAGACTGTCCCTCTTTTCGGCCCCACAGGCCAGCCCGATGCCCTGGTTCTTGGGCAGTCCAGGAAACGGGCCAGGCTGATGCGAAACAGTAGCCGCGGACAGCAGAATTCTGGGGGCTCAGGCAGCAGACTTGGAAAGCCCCCAGATGAAGCCTTCAGGCGGTCCCAGTGCACCTCTGATTTTGGCTCCCTTTTCCAGGTCCTCCGGGATGTCCTGCTGGATCTCTACCGCCTGCTGAAGTCTGTCGTGCGCTGTGAGCAAGATGCGGTCACCGTGCTGCACGCCCAGCTGGCCTTGGAGGAGCTGGACGACATCCTCAGGCAGTTCCTCTTCCCTCCCCAGACTCTGCAGAAGAAGATTGAGGTCCTGCCCTAGGGGACGCTGCTCCAGACGGCCTCGGCACTGTGCCTCCAGGGATGTGGGGTTTGGGGCCTGGCGCACCCAGCCCTCAGAAGCCCTCGCTAGGACAGAGGGTGTCGGCCTCCACCGCGGGCGCTGCAGCTTCTGTGGGAACTTTGCTCCTGTGGGACAGACTCTGTACCAGCTCTGCTTTGTTAAGTGGGGACTTGATCCCAGTGAGAGAAGCGCTACAGGAGACAAGCAGCTCCACAGAAACTCCTGAGATTGGCCAGTGCAATAAACAGAGCCCAGCAGTAGCATTCGTCAAGGGAGGCCTGCATAGATGGGGGGTGGGGTGGAAGTGTGCCCGGCTGGGACTGTCAGGTAGGGCTGAGCAGGGCTGATCCATCCTGCCCACATATCCAAGGGGCCTGGATTGGCCTTGGACTCTTCCCGGGAAGTGGCCCTGCCCTCCACCATAATGCCTGTCTCTCCTCCTGGCGTATCTTTGTGCCCTGAGAGGTTTGCGAGCTTCCACGGCTTTTCTTGTGCCGCTTTGCCAGTCGGGCCCAATGGTTCCCTCCAGATGCTGAGGCCTCCAGCCCTGGGCCTGGCTGTTCTCTCTAGGGTGGCTGGGAGGGATGGGCCAGAGCAGCTGTTGGGGCCTCCGGAAGGCTCCACCAGTGCAGCTCCTGGCCAGGCGGAGAGATGTTTGGCACGGTCCCATTCAGGGGCAGGATGCTGGGGAGGAATCCAGGTTTCCCCCTCCCCCGTCTCCAGCCCCTGGGCTGGGGCACCATTGCATGGGTTGTGTGCCCTGCCTACTAGGGACTCCCCAATGTCCCCATCAGCAGGAGCAGCGGCTTGGGGAAGGAGGTCAGAAGGAAGCCTCCTGCCCCGCCCCCACCCAAGTTCTTCCTCCAGTCTGGCCTTGTGCCTTCCAGAAGTGCTGGGCCAGAACTGCCAGGTCTGCCCACAAAGAAAGGAAGCCAGGCCAGCTGGGGGGGTGGCAAAGAGATTGGAGTGGAAGTCAAGAGGTCCGGGGTCTCCGCCAGCCTACCTCAAAGGGTTATTGTAATAGGAACAATGGCAGGAGGGAGTGAAAGGTGGGTTATAAGGCTGGGGCTGGCTTGCCCCGAGTGGCGTGGGCTACATTCCAACAGGTGGCCAGCTGGGTCGGAGCCAGTGGGCCCTGGTCTTCCGTTCCTGGGTGCTGAGGAGATGCAGGCCCTGAGAAGCCGCAGGGTGCTTGGCAGCGCCACCCCCTCGGCAAGGACGAGCAGAGGGACCGGCCCGAAGCGCTGGAGCTGATGGCACCGGTCCCTTTTGCGGGCGCCCGGAGGAGCTGCGGGCGGTGCCGCGGGGGAGCGGCTGCCAGCCGGTCCGCACAGACCCCTCCCGGGGAAGAAGGCGGTGCCT